AATCACCTCTGTGAGGAAGTGTATGCCGCTTACAGAAGAGAGCGCTGAGGTGAACGCGTTTCCTCCATTAGAGAAAACAGCACCTCCTTAGAGTTACCATTAGAGTTACCACCAACACTTCATCCACATGTGCTGTCATTATATATCAAATAATAATACTGTACACTACCGTTCAGGTGTTTGGGATAATTACTATTTTTAATGTTTTGGAAAGAAGTCTCTTCTGCTCACCAAGGCTGCATATATTTGACCACAAATACTGTAAAAAAAAAATTGAAATATTATTAGAATGTAAAACAGCTGTTTTCTATGTGAATATGTGTTAAACTGTAATGTATTTCTGTGATGCGCAGCTGTATTTTCAGCATCATCAGAAATCATTCTAATATGATTTGCATGTTACATGTTGAGAATAGTTACCAATAGTTACCAGGGATACCATTCAAAAGGTTAGAGTAAGTCAGATTTAATAAAAAAATTTAATTAATTTTTATAAAAAAATTATAATTTTATTAATCAAGGATGCATTCAATTGTTGAAAAGTGCCAGTAAAGACAGTTATAATGTAACAAAAGATTTCTATTTCAAATAAATGCTGTTCTTTTGAACTTTCTATTCACCTGTGAATCCTGAGAAATAAAATCTATGATGGTTTCCACAAAAATATTGTGCAGCACAACTGTTTTCAACATTGATAATAATCAGAAATGTTTGTTGAGCAGCAAATCAGCATATTAGAATGATTTCTGAAGATCATGTGACACTGAAGACTGGAGTAATGATGCTGAAAATACAGCTGCGCATCACAGAAATACATTACAGTTTAACAGAGATTCACATAGAAAACAGCTGTTTTACATTTTAATAATATTTCACAATTTTTTATCAAATAAATGCAGCCTTGGTGAGCAGAAGAGACTTTACATCCAATCTGAACATTATTTAGTGTTAATCATGTGTCTGTCACTGACTGAATGACGTTTCTGCTCCTCGTGTGTTTTCTCCAGATCTGTTTGGTCTGTTGTCATAGTTATGTGGGGCCTGAAGCATTGTGGGATTGTGGAGGAGCCCCTCGGCCCTTCAAAGCACCAGCTGTCCGAGTGAAGAGCAGGCGTAGTAAATTGTGGCCATTATTAGGAGAAACAGCAGCAAGTGAGGTCATTATTCGTGGCCACTAGACACAGGTGTTCACAAAAGCGACCCCCCAGAGATAATGCAGTTCATCCGCCTCCTCCTGCTGCTCGGGATCCAGAGTTAACAGGCGCTGCGGGATTAGCCCTGTGTGCGTCTTTCTTCTCATTCGAATGAAATCTGCACTCGGCAATGCTAATTAGGTTAAGAAATAACTAATCTAGTTGAGAGAGTTCCTGTGAGAAATTAATCAGATTAGTCGAGAGTGGAACACAGCCTTATTAGGGCATAATAAGAGTAATTAAATCCATTGACAGAAGATGATGATGTGGAGTCGTTCAGACTCGAACACCATCATCACACGCGTGTGCTCAGAAACAAACTCAGCTCTACAGAAGACTATAGAGTCATTGTTCAGTTCAATAACTGATCTGAATTATGAACAGATTCGATTCAGCTATAAAGCAGAAGAAGACAATAGAGTCATTATTTAGCTCAATTCAGATGGAGTTTTGTTCTCATCTGATAGTGTCAGTGCAGTTTAATCACTAATATTACTGCATATTAAGTGTCTTTTAGACCCAAACAAAGCAAAGAAACAAACAGATTGACATATTTTCATCGTCTGTCTCTGTGATTTCAGAGGCTCGACTGATTCACATACAGTAGATAAAACACATCTGGAGAACTCAATATCAATTTTTCATATGGTGGTGATCGTCGTGTGGGTTTGTTTATGGATTCTGAGCATCTGCCGTCATCTCTGTACAGGACTGTGACCTGATGAATCCAGCAGAGAGACGATCTCTGATCACTGATGGATCGCTGATAGATCGCAGTTAGACCAGCACACACACACACACACACACTCTCTTTCTCTCTCTCACACACACACACACACTCTCTCTCTCTCTCACACACACACACTCACACTCACTCTCTCTCTCTCACACACATGCTCACACACACACACACACACACACTCTCTTTCTCTCTCTCACACACACACACACACTCTCTCTCTCTCTCACACACACACACTCACACTCACTCTCTCTCTCTCACACACATGCTCACACACACACACACACACACACTCTCTTTCTCTCTCTCACACACACACACACACTCTCTCTCTCTCTCACACACACACACTCACACTCACTCTCTCTCTCTCACACACATGCTCACACACACACACACACACACACTCTCTTTCTCTCTCTCACACACACACACACACTCTCTCTCTCTCTCACACACACACACTCACACTCACTCTCTCTCTCTCACACACATGCTCACACACACACACACACACACACTCTCTTTCTCTCTCTCACACACACACACACACTCTCTCTCTCTCTCACACACACACACTCACACTCACTCTCTCTCTCTCACACACATGCTCACACACACACACACACACACACTCTCTTTCTCTCTCTCACACACACACACACACTCTCTCTCTCTCTCACACACACACACTCACACTCACTCTCTCTCTCTCACACACATGCTCACACACACACACACACACACACTCTCTTTCTCTCTCTCACACACACACACACACTCTCTCTCTCTCTCACACACACACACTCACACTCACTCTCTCTCTCTCACACACATGCTCACACACACACACACACACACACTCTCTTTCTCTCTCTCACACACACACACACACTCTCTCTCTCTCTCACACACACACACTCACACTCACTCTCTCTCTCTCACACACATGCTCACACACACACACACACACACACACACACACACACATTCCGTCTCTCCTTACTTTTTTTCCTCCATCATGGAAATTTAATTCACATTGCATCAATATTCTAGTTGTTTCAAGTCTAGTTACTTTTTTTATTTGTGTAGCACTTTTTACACTCCATGTTGTTTCAAAGCAGCTTTACAGACAATTGTCACTTAATATTAAAGCTCACAAACTATGTCTATAACTTTATATTTATAAATGTATTCCTCATTCAAACACAAACAGGCCAGTTTGCACAGTTACATACTCTTTACAAAACTGATAAACTGAAGTTCAAATCCTAACATAATCTAAAGAACTGAATAAGAATCTGCTACATTTCTACAGTAAGATCATATTGAAAGCAATTAGATCAAGCTGAACATCTACACAGTGTTAGTCTTTCAGTTTCATTAGGCGTCTATATAAAAGGGGAAACTTTGGTGTCATTTTGTATTGTATTGTAAATTTGGACCTTGTAACATTTGCTATTGATTTGTAAAGTAATTTTACAAAAGAAAACATTGAGTAATTGTGCCTGTTATTAGTGATAGAGTGTGATTGATGGGTGACAGGCTTTCTGAGTTGATTTAAGACTGTATGAAGTGTTTTAGTGCATTTTGAATGTAAAATAATAAAATAAAAGTTGGTTAGAAGAACTGTGCAAAAAAGATTGAGAAAAGTGTCCTAGCGATCATTTCTCTACTTTGGAGTCAGTGTGCTGCACTTTGTCTAATTAAAATGTTTTTTTGTTTTTTTTTTCCTAATCAGTGTCCTCAATATAACTTTCATCCATCAGTCGTTTGTATCAATGACATCATCCTGCAGGAAGTGACATCACCGGGCGTGGAAAGCGTCAGTGGATGTGGTTTGTCTGCGCTCATGATGTTTGTTCACACGTGGCCCTTCAGAGTCACACGCCGGCTGATGTTTAATTCAGTTCCTCGTGTTTACAGTCAGACAGAAGAGACTCGTTTACTGCTGAATGGAGAGTTCATTCATGATGTGATAAACAGCTCATTAGGAGCCCGGGGCCCCTCCTCGACTTCAGCCGCTCTATTATTATTTCTGTTCGTCAGTGTCACACTGAGATGGAGAAAGTTGACGTGTGTTTGTGTAAACGCGTCTCCGGTGGCTCTGCTCGCCTGTAATTGGACTAATTGGAAATGTTCTAACAGAACAATAGAGCTGCTCTGTTCTGATTACATTACAGAGAAGATGAAAAACAATGGATGGTTTGGTTGAAGAAATGACTTGAAGTGTAAAAGATTAGAGCAATATTGATAAAAAATAAATAATGGACACAGTTTTTAACACATCACTAATAATGTTTTCGGTTATGTTCTGAACAATGATGTTGGACATAAATCTCCACTGGTTTATTAAAACAAACTGTAGGAACAAACCAATTCACTAAAATGAATCAGAATTCCCAACGGTGAAAATGAGGATGTGCTTTATCCTTTAGAACTGGAAGATAAACATCATGTTGAATCCTTGAAATAAACTGACATTATTCATGTTTATTCTCAGTGCATTAATATCTCGAAACATTGAAGGTGGAATGTGAGGTTAGGCTGCCGCATGTGACGACAACAACTCAACATGGAAACACACACACACACACACACACAGACACACACACACACACACATAATTGGGTGCACATGGGAGACACTGAGATCCAGCTAGTCACTACATGAGAGGAACTCCATAAATAGACTAGTGCAGTGAACCAGAGTCAGCAGTAAACATACACACACTTACTTTACCACGGTATATTACCACAGTATATGACTGATGCGTGGATGCAAAATACCAACTGTTCTTGGCTATGGTAACAAACAGTGCAGAACGGTGTATCTGAGAGTGAATGCTACTGTCTCTATTCACAATTACTGTTCTGTGTTTGATTTGAAATTATACATATTCAGACTCATGTAATTAATAACAGATTCTGACCTTAAATCAGTTGATAGACCAAAATAAACAGAACATTCTCCTAATGATAGATAGCTAGATCTATCCTAACCTCAGTTTACTCCATTACGCCAGAGAAGGACGACACCAGTCGATCTGATTCACTTCTGTCTCTATTGTTTTTATTCTGTAAGCGTTTTCTGAAAGCAGTAAAGCATTTGATGCTGTTGAATGTTGTAGTGAACACCGTGAGCCAAACTCCTCCAGTGCGTTAATACAGAGTGTGCTTTAAAGCCTCGCTTCACATGGTGCTTTTCATAAACTAAAGTAACAGGAACCCAAGCTTTTTTTTTTTTTTCCAGCTGAGACCATCATGAAACCTGGTGAGATGTGGAGGTATAAACGCACTCGATCCGTGCCATTGTCCCGCGCACACACGCGCTCGGTGTGAGTCTCTCTCTATTCCGCGCAGATGGCAGGTGGATCCGGTTCCAGACGGACTCTGTGGCGGGTTTTCGTCCCTCCCTCTTCAGATCAATGAAGTCTCATCGCCAAACTCATCGCGCACAGAGAGCGAGCGGCGCGGCGCGGCGCGTCAGTCAGTCAGAGGAACCGCCGCGTGCGTCACGACCGGATCGAGGATGGAGAATCGCGCTGTTTAACGACACGGTATCGCTCGCGCTGGTCGTTTCCATTCACGGGAGCGCAGGATCCTCAATCGCGCGGATTGATTGATTGATTAATAGCGGATTTTGCGGTGATTTTGACCATCATGGGCTGCGTCACTGGAGATATTCACCGGAGCAGACTTTACGCACTCCTCATCGGGCTGCATGTTCTCACCGGTGTCTCCAAAACGCACGGTGAGTCGGTCTTTACACTCTTTACTCTTTGCTCACGCTCAGCGGGCTGGTTTTACGCACTTTATGGATGGATAAGTTGGCTTTTCCTCGCAAGAATCCGGCTGAACGCGAGCGCGCTGCGGAACGCTTGATCGGGGCGACGCGCTCCGGTTGCTTACTGGTTACTGGTTGACCACTGCTGGTTTTAAGTTGGATTTTCCTCAGTGTCTCGTTGTGCAAATGTGAATGTGCTGCTGTTTGATTCAGCGCTGCTGCTGCTCGATGGAGAGACTCAAACACACACGCGCAATATTCACTCTATCGGAGCATCTTGTTGCGTTTCTGTCATCGCTTTAGTGTGTCCTAAAGTTGTATTTCATGACGTCAGGTGGTGAACTCATTATTATTATGATGCCATGATGCTGTATGTGTGACTGTCAGCAGGTGCTACTGATGCGGTTGATCCGTGACGCGCGTCCTGATCGATGCGTCACTGCGGGACGCGCGGTGCAGTATTGTGCTTGTTGTATGTAGCTCGTATATTCTGCTGTGAAGCTGCATTAGGTGTAAAGCAGAGCAGATGGAATGTTCTGGATGCGTTCTGGAGGTTCAGCACGAACCCCTGCGCCACCGCACGCCGTGCTCTCCATTGAGCTGCTGTATTTACTGGTGACGCCAGCAGAGGAGCAGTGTTTCACCGCGGTACTCCACAAGCACTCGCTCCATGCTGCCATTCATGTAAAGATTTGCATATGTATAGTAGGCTAAACAGCTAGATCGAGGATTTATTTACATTTATTCAGATTCGTTAGTTAATTTGATTATCTGATTTGATCTCCGATGGGTTAGTGCTTTATTGATGTCTGCGGTTCCACGAAGAACCTTTAAATAAACCACTAAATGTTGTTTCACTCTTAAAAATAAAGGGTTTTTCAGCAGAAACCTTTCAGTGATCAGTTCCTAAAATAAAATGTTTTTCTGAAGAACATTTGAGAACCTTTTCCACTATAAAGACTCTTTTGTGCAATGGAAAGATTTAATGGATGTTAAAGGTTCTTCGTGGAGCATCAATGCCAATAAAGAAGCTTTATTTTGTACTGGTTCTTCAGATTATTAAAACTAAGGAAAAAAAAAACGTTATTTTAAGAAATACACTGAAAGGTTATTTAGGGAACCAAAAATGGTTCATCACTGTGAAAAACAACCCTTTATTTTTAAGAGTCTGGTTCCTCAGAATAATCAACATGTGTTGCACCATCATGGAAAACATAAAAACACTGGATCATTTCAATATTTGCAGGTCTGGAAACTTGTTATGCATTTATGCTGATCTAGAAATCGCTTGGAGTTGGATTCTGTTGTAATCGATTCATGCTTTATTTCCAGTTCGTGTGAATTCATGTAGGGTTTGATGGCTCATAATGTTGCTCTTTGTCTTCACTGGTGTCCAGTTTCTTGGATCAGTAAAACCATTCCGTTTGAGAGTGTGTCATGGTAATATCGTTGTGTGATCTCTAATCGTTGTATTCACATCTGTGTCCCTGCAGCACAAAAGCAGTCTTAAGTCGCTGGGGTATATTTGTAGCAATAGCCAACAATACATTGTATGGGTCAAAATTTATGTTCAGATGCACTTCTCGTCTTCAAACGGTTTGCGTTTCACCACCTACAGCTTCCCACAGCCAGAAACGCAAGCGTACGGTTTGTGAAACGGGACGCAAACACACAGGATAATGTGCCAGGAGCGGATCGCTGATATGATTCTCAGGAGAGATGTGTGTTTACTACAGAAACACTTTCATACACACTCAATTACAGCAACATACACATACATTCATTCATTTATTCATTCTGTTTTTCATAGGAAACAGCAATAACAAGTTAATATTGAGTAAAATACTGCCATTACCTTTCGTTTTGCTTGTCAACAAAAATAGTCTCAGCGAATCATTGCAACAGTAGTGGTGTTTAGTTCCTAAATGATTCAGTGCTGTTGAACGAATCAGTTGAGTCAATGATTCAACAACTCACTCATAGACAGTTGCTTGTTTCATTCCTAAATGAATCAGTGCTGTTGAATGAATCAGTTGAGTCAGTGATTCAACAACTCACTCATAGACAGTTGCTTGTTTCATTCCTGAATGATTCAGTGCCATTAGGGCTGCGGTGGTTTATTAAGTAGTAGTGTTCAATTAGTGTTATTTAACAGTCAGTATTGAGTCTCATATCCATTAACAGAAACATATTTCCAGCTGATCCTTTGAGCTCAGTCAGTCTTTGAATATTTGAGTCTTTGAATCTTTGAATCGCATCTCTTTGTCCTACTTTACGTCGGCTGCTGAAGAAAATACATGTCTCTGAAAGCTGGAGGAAAAGCCTTCTTAATTAAAGCCTTAATTAGTGAATTAATGTTAATGTTAACAGAGAGCGTCGGCCTTTACATTCACCTCAGATTCACTTTAATTTCATCTTTCTGCTACAGCACACTTCTATTATTCAGAGATGTTGTACTTTCATATCTCGATCTGTACATGTGCTGAAGGAGACGTTTGCCTGTGTGTCACTTGTTTTTATAGATGCTGAAACATACACTTTGGATGTATTGAAGCATCTAAAATGTAAACATGATTAAATATTTACAGCTAAAAGATATTTGTATAGATGCACTTTAATCAATAAATGGTTTTAGATCCCTTAACCTACCTCAAACGGAAACATAACCATTTTAAAGAGAATATAAAAGAATATATCAAATTTAATATACACAACTGTGCAGGAAAATGACTGTTTTAGTAACAATATAGCATTAAAATATATTTTTAGTCTCTAATCACACACCTAACACTAACCTTTTCTTAAAAACATGTACAGTATAAAGAAAAACATGACATACCGACAAGTGCAATAAAAACAAAAAAAAGTCAAAAGTGGCACCAAAAGCAGTCCAAACCTGTCGCAAAGGCTTGAATATGGGTCTTTTCTTTGCAGTCGTGTGGATCCTAAAGATTTGAATTATGGTGTACTCATAAAACTGATTATTTGTGATTTTATGTTGTGTACATGACTGCATGCAAATATGATGATGGTTAGTATTGAGCCAGTAATGGCAGATGAAGCCTGTATCAGATCACCATGTTTGTATTTGTGTGTCTTCAGTTGAACTGAGAGATGCTGTAAATCATCGACCTGTTTCCAAGCGTGTCTGTGTTTATTTGAGTTTCTGTGCATCTGTGTGAGCGTGACCAAAGCAGATCTGTGTGTCTGATTCGCATCTGTTCTGCTGCGTGAAGGACGGCCGATCTCAGAGCGGTTATTCACACATCAGACAAACAGATGGACGCCTGCTTCCATACAGACACAGACGGGAATCCATAGCGCACACACACAGACAGACAGACAGACTCACTCACTCACTCACTCACTGAGACAGACAGACGTTTACCCGCAATTGTATGAGATGGCGCGAAAGTGTGTGTAGTTTGACGCGAATGTGTTTCACATTGCAGTACCAATTCCGGCCTACAGAGGCGCTGTTCAAAGTTCACACATACACATCATGGTTTAAAAGGACCATATTTGTGAAAGTCATAAAAAGCATGCCAACTGTTATAATGGCCAAATAACAATATGAACTAATAAAACAAGTAATATAATAATCATTTAGGTCATTATATTGAATAATCATCATTTAAAGCATTTTCTATAACAACTTAAATTCTCTGAATTATGAGGACATCAAAAATGGCCTCATAAACCAAATGGTCTCATAATGCTGGTATGTAAACCTGAAAATTGGTTCCATAAACCACATATGCCAACTCACACACACACACACACACACACACACACACACACACACTCACAATACCGAACACTTGCTTCTTTCACTCGTTCAACTCGGCCTGAGTCTTGATATTTAAGATGATGTGTGTTTTCAAGAAACACAAACCGCCCGTCGTTCTCTTTCATGAAGTGAATGTAGTAAATAAAAGCATGAAGTTTGGTTTTGCTGTGTTTGTGCGTTTAATAATCATGACATGTGACTGTACTAATTATTAATTTAGTCCGATGCTGGAGTCTGATGATAAGACTATAAAGAAATTTATTTTTAATGCAAATGAATGAATCTTCAGTCAAGAATAACCTACTCGCAAGTCCAGCCATTAATTAATTTGGGATTGAAAAAGCCTTGATATTAAAGACTCTTTGTAACTTAGAAAGTCACATTATGAACAAGAGAATGAGTTTATATTAATAGAGATGAATGCATGCGTTGGAAGGTCAGCGTTGTTCTCTAATTATGTTCCATATGGTTTATGAGAATCATCATAAATATATGTCGACCGCTACAGCAATTTTATACAATTTTAAGAAAACTAAACACAAAATAAACACAAAAAAAAAACATGGTTATTTAATGTAGAAATCACGAATTAGCACTGAATTAGCAGTATCAGTAATTCAATTGCTTTGGTTTTCTTTTGTTTTTGAAATACATTCATAGAGTTTTCAGCCATCTAAATGAGGTGTGGGTGTAGAGTTTCACATTCAAGCCATTTTAGGGCATGAAAACAATATTTTCAAAACAAAAATGTAATTTTAATTATTAAAGATGAACGAACGAATGAGTGAGTGAATGAATGAATGAATGAATGAATGGGGGACTGAAGGGGGACTTTAGCAAAAAGCTGTATATAAATAAAAATAAATAAATACAAAAATAGACATTAACACATGGTTATTTCATGTATAAGCGTAAGTAAATATAATGTGATATAAAGTGTTACTGTGGTATAAAATCACCTTGACCTTGGTGTTGCAAACGCAAAATATAAATGTATATTATAAAGTTTCTGCATTGCAAACAATCCTAAATATCTCCCTTTCAGTGCAAAACTAATTAATGTTCATGATCATGGCTGGACTTGTGTGATTTTAAAACTCTATGATTGTATTTCCAAATAAATAAAATAAAAACTTTGTTGCTTTCAATTTCACACTTCAGTGGTTCAATGTAAATG